CTCTCGCCAGGTGCATCTGCGACTGGAAGGCATCTACGTGGTCATTTGGGTCAAACGACCCGTCATACTTGTCAAGAGGGGGGAGCTTGAAGTCTTTAGGCATTGGGACGGCCAGGAGCTCAGGAGATAGAGGGATGGAACTGAAAGGAGGGGAGCCTTAGCTTCGCCCGAGCTTACCGCTTCTCTACCTCCGAGCTCGGGCAGGTTATGGGTGGTAGATCGGTGAGCTCGGCGGCAGCGTCTCTGCTTCTTGGCGGGCTCCAGATTCGTGTTGCTCACCTTCGTGCTGTCAGGGATGGTTTGTGCTGGAAGTAGGTCGGGCGACTGGTGATGGTTGCGGACAGAGGGATCTTGCTTGGAGTCTGCGACCAGGATCTCAAACCGGTTCTCCAGGAGCAGGGCTTCAAACTTCGACTGCCAAGGTGATGTAGATCTGGCGAACTGGGGTCCTCCCGACCTGACCGCCCACGACGAGACCGGGGTGGCCGGTCTTTCTTGTCTGCCGTGGGAGGAGGCCTGGCTCTTAGGAGGGTTTTGGGAGGCTTCTTCTTGGCGAGAAGGGCGTTCGTCCTGGCGGCAAGACCTAGCTCGCTGTGAGGCTGGGTGCCGAGGAGGGAGTTGCGGCTGCTGAAGCTGAGGTTGAGGTTGAGGCAGCTGAGGGAATTGCTGCTGGTAGTGGTACTGGGAGACATGGTGCAGCACTTGCTGTTGGTAAATCTGGTGTTGCTGGAGCTGCTAGTATGGCTCGCATGCACAGCATCAGATCGTCGAGCTGGCTCTGGCTAGTCACCAGAGGAATGACAGTTGGTTCAACAAAGGTCGTTTCGACTGAGGAAGGCAGGGGAACACCCACAGGCGTCGTTGCTCACGGCATGTTCAGGCTGGGGACTCCATCCACCGAGAGGGGAATGGTGAACTGTCCAATGCAGACCGTGGGAACCTAGGGACTTCGTCCAACGTTGCTTGAGGAAGCCATGAGTGCCGAGTTTTCAGAGAAGGAAGAACGGTGAGGGTTTAGAGGAAGGCTTTTAGAAACGGTTCCCATAGACGGCGCCAAATGATGGTGCACAATCCGGTCACTCCTAGCTGGCACTTACGTGGCTCCTAGAAGGTACCTGAGATGGAGAAGAAGAAGAATCCCCGGGGGCTTGCCCGGCGGGAACACTCCGATGCTTAAGTTAGTATTCTATAGGAGAAGCAAGGAGAAGATGAAGGTTAAGAGTGCAGATAGCGCGTGAGTAGAAGATCATACCTCTCTCCCTTGATAATAAGCTCCTTATAACATAAATCCGTTGCATCAGGCCCACTGGCCTCTGACAGGGCAGGTATAACCGCCATTGTCAGCCTGCTGCAGCCGTTACTTGCAGGGGCTAAGGTGGCACGCGCAGGGCCGTCATCGCAGGGTACGTGCTTGTCAGGTGTGAGGCACCCTCTAAAGGTGGCAGGCACGACGCTGTCTGACAAGGGATATGGTTGTTGTCCCTAGATTTGTCGGGTACGGTGGTCGAGCGGGAGGTTTTCCTACGATATGCCGAACTACCTTTCCGCGAGTTACCCTGTGTCGGGCTATCTCGCAAGCGGCGAGCTGCCTGTGGCAAGCTAAGCCGAGCTGTCTGGCCCAAGGTGTCTTCACCTCGGGGTATCTATAGGCAGATCGGGGTGTTCCTGTCTGGTAGAAGCTTCCTGAGGAGTGCCCATGCAGCCCATTCCCGAGCTACTCTGTAATGAGCTCGGAATACTTTAGGATTACCTTTAACAGAATTGGTCCTTGGGATGACTTGTCTGCTTAGGAGCTTGGGCAAGCTAGTTCCCCTAGCTCGCGAGCTAAAATTGCCTCAGAGTATCCCTTCAAAGGTAGCTCGGGGAACCCGGAGCTCGCGTTGTGGCGAGCTCCTTTTGTGAGCTACGATGTAGCGAGCTGCTTTATGGGCCCGTCACTTGGTCGCACTAGGCTACAATGCTGAGCTGTTGCTCGTGCTGAATCAATGTTCACATGTCACCATTTTATAGGTCGGGTCAAATCGTCGTCTATCAGTTATATATGAAACTCATCCCTCATTTAAATCCAAAATACAGCAAACTACCTATAAGTTCTTCACCTAAACCAACGACAACACGGGAAAATGAGCAAAGCCAGCAATCAAGAGAGACTTAATGGACCAGCTAGGCCTGATTCAAGTATGAATCCAGCCAGCCAAGTTGAAGCCCGTTCCACCGGAAGAGTTAGGTAGCCACCCAAGAAAGGAATGGCGAAACGGATGATTTTTAAGTGCATTACCAAAAGTCTCTTCTATCTTTTGCTGCTTCTATTCCTCTACTGCCACTACTACTACAACCTTCTTTTATGCATGCACTTTAATAGAATTATGGTTGGTTTTCTATTATGGTCCGTTTAGTTCGTGAGGCGAATATTCTTATTTTTTCATGTTTTTATGGGCAATATACTGGGATGTGATGAGAATACCCTTCTCAAAATATGAGATCTGGGGTCTCACCAAATTGGTGGACCCCACTGAGAAATTAAAGCGGCGCGGCGATAGTGAGAAAAAAAGCACTTTTTTCTAATAAATGCTCTACTGGCAGTGGCATCAATATGTATTCATTAGTTAACAAAGAAGCTTCCGCTTCGTGTTTTCGCCTTGACCTAAACCTCAAAAATCGGATATAAAAATAGGCTTATTAAAACCCAAGCCCAGCACATCCAATGTATAAACACGCAGCCCCACAAACATGGAATAGATATTGGCCCGAGCCTGAACATGTACCCTATACAATATATGCAGCAGGAGCCTGAATCGGTCCATTTCTCTGTAAAACTGCACATATAGTACAAAGAAACTCTAACTCAACTAAATTTCTGCCAAACCTTAAACCATAAATCAACTCAAACAAACTAATATAGGGACCATTACTTGGTGTCATGGTAAAAGTTCGAGTCCGAGGACGGCCACTTTAATGGCCCAAGAAGATGAAGAAAGAAAAAAAATCATAAATCGCAAGGGTAAAAAAAAAAAACTGTTACCTTCTCATGCCAAACTACCAACGCACACATCTGGAACATGAATGTGATTCGTACCTGGATGATATATGATAGAGCATGCCCACCCAGCCTGACACAATGTTATATCGACGTGCATGATAAACCTATATTCTACAGATGTACAGAACAATCTGACAGAAACCTACAGATATTCGAAAGGTCAGTCTATATGAGAAAATTAAGTTACTGAAAATGCATTTGAAGCCAAAGCGAAACTTTATAAGGGGGGGGATGATCTACTTTTACATAATCACATTCCTAACTCTATGCAGCAAGTAACCCACAGAAATTCCTAGTACTCTGTACAAACCCTCCTACAGTCCCCAACTACACACCAAAAGTTGAATGCCAATTCTGCACACATTATAGAAAAGACGGGCATCATTTACAGCTCATCAACATGGAGTTTATGATGTGCATGACAATTCTAATGCTTGCAGCATCAGCAGCATTGACAGTTGGGATGGTGCAGTGATGGGCCAATATCTGATAGACCTGCTCAAAGATGGGTCTTACGTGCATTGCAATCATCGAGTCCGTTGGGTTAATGACAATAACCACATCTGTCATCCATGACAACTTCCGGGATGTTTCTTTGCCGATATCACAGGCCAACTGCTGAAGAAGGGAAAGCAAAACTCCTTGGCTCAAAGGACGAGGCATCATTGACAAAATACCCTTGAAATCAACCTGATGAACAGCAAAGGGGAAAACAATAAAAACTAAGATTGTAATATTAGAACCTAAAAGCTGCATTAGATTTAACCACCTAGTAATATTGGAAGGCTGTTTCATATGGAAACTTCAATGGTGTTTTGTCAAGATGTTTTACCATGCGATGTAAAATGTTCAAGGAAAACATGGTGTAGAGGTACTAGAAGTTGTAATAATCAAAACAAGATCCACCAAAACATGAATGGTAATTAGATATTTTATTAATCCTAGGAGATGATACTAAATGAAAACACAATGGATTGACACGTCCAAGCCTTGTTCTAGCAATTTGGAGATTACCAATTGTCACTCCCCCATGGCAACATCTTGTGCTAACTGTTAAGATGCAGCTATCCTACAGCTGTTATACAAAGCATTGCCTTTAATTTGATTTGTAGATGCATAATCTATAATGGTTACTCCAAAAGTGCATCCCATAACTATCCAATACATTATTATGGCCTTGAACATTCTCAATCTCTTCCTCGTGATACTCAATCCAAGAAAACAAAAATGGGACTGTAAGGAACTTTTTACGATTAATTTTGTCCCCACCATACTCCCTTGTCGCTACTAAAAAATGCATGTGTTGGAACTACTTTGTACTTTGAATTCTCTAATGCTACAAAATTACCTAATTGTTTGTTTTTATAAATAAATAATTGCATGCAAACATGCACATGAAAAGAAAGGTGAAGTATGGATGATGTGCAAGGATGATGCAAATGAAGAGTTGCATTATGTGGTTTTTATCCAAAGCCAAGTTGCTAAGCCACTGCTATTCACTGAATAATGGACATTTAACCAATACTTCATAGCCCAAGTCAAAAATCATCCTCTTCAAAGCTCTATAAATGTTGATTTTGAGACTTTTTTTTTCTTTTATCAAACAGCATAGAGCTATCTCAGAAACAAGCCCAGGGACAAAAAAAATTCTGTCCAGTCCAGCCCATGGTGAAACAAAAACCAAAAGAGCATTCTCAAATCAATGGCTGAAAGCCACCAACTGGGATGTGTATGCGTGTGCACTCATGTCAATCAAAGGAAACATAAGTATGTAACATACTTGTGGAGTGGACATAAAGCACACCTGAGAACATAACCAGGATACGATGGAGACATCACTTCTTTGTAATGCTGCAGTGAATGCTTCTTCATATTTGCGTTCTGATAGCAACCTTGAGATGTCTTTGGTTGGATCCAGAGGCACCTCTACCTGTTTTACAGGCATTGCATGTTCAAACTTAAAAGTAGGAAATGCCACAAAATACCCTTCAAATATCTTTAATACCTTATAAGTAAAGATCTATTTCACAAAAGAGGGCATGAAGTACCATATCATGGAGACCACCCAACGGTCCATTGCTTAATTGTGTAACCAAGGGATTTACAGCTTTTGAGTTAGCCCCTGCAGCTGCAAGAGCTAGGAGTTTGCGCTGGCTATCAGCAAATTCACCAGTTAGAGTTTGGGTGATTGATGAAGCTGAATTAATGGCATCCTGCAAAATACCATAAACAGTATAAAATGGAGTAAACATCCCACGTAGACAATGCTTGAATATTATGAAACTCATTTAAATAGTATTTTTATTGGTCTCTATTCATGTAACATCTGACATTTAGATTCTTGGAAATTTCACATCTTAATCTCATCAGATCTAACCAGACCCCACATTGGTCAGAGCTCCTGGGCTGCCTTTATTATTTATTTGCTAGGTGGATGTTTGGGACAGTGATTCAAGTCTCAACATTTCAACTTAAATCGTTAAATTGGAAATCAGGAAAGTAAGATGTTTTGGCACAAAACATACAACACAATATTTTATTATAATGCCATTAGACAAATAGGTGATAGGAAAGCTGAAGTAAATATACCCCCAAACACTGGAAGCATCCTTTTGATGTTCCCCCCCAACACACCCATGCACATAACCCAATGTAAAAAGTGGTAATAACCCTTTGAAGTTCAAACTGCCCAATCAAATGTGTTTTTACATAAGCTCTAGTAAAAAATGTCTATATAGTGCTTATGTGAAGTCAAAACGGAATACAACATGGTTCCAAAGACCAACTAGGAAAAAAGGCATTTCTTATGCTAAGTTTAACTTCCTAGCAAAGCCCCTAATTCTCAGTGGAAGCTTACAACCACAAATAACAGAAGACCAATTCAAAATTACAACAAAAGAACTGTTAAGAAGTTAGCCTGGAAATGGCTGGTACTAGATTGTCTAAGACAGCATCAGCATTAATATAGATGCGTAAAAACAACAATGATGGGGTTGTGGAATACCAAAAACAAAGATTACTCATTTCCCATTTCCTACAGAGTACCATGTAGAACTTCATAATACAACATACCCTCAAAGCAAGCGCCAATGAAGAATGTGCAGATTCAAACTGCTGCTGAACTGCAGTTGTATGTTCAGCCATCCCTTTCTGGAATGCAGCATCAACTTGCTCAAACATGGTTTTGCATGACATCTCAAAAGCTGGAATAACAGAAGCTTCCAAACTAGACCTTAATGCATCCTACATTCAAAGAATATATATAAATAAGAGTTGATAAACATGCATGAAATACCAGTTTACTTTTTCTCCAGGACAAACCAACTCCTTTTTCTACCACACAAGGAACTGATTAGAAATGCATATAAGTGTTAAACAGTAACTGTATCCCAGTATAATCATGGAAAATACTTTTTATGAATTTGAACCTACCTGAAGAGTTTGTTTCCCTGATGTCTGAAACTGTGCTTGAATTTGTCTAGCCACAGTAGCTTCAAGTTTAGAATTAACGGACTTTTCCAACTGACTCACTGCCTTGTCTCCTACCCCTCTCTGCACAACAAACATCTATGAGATTCCAACAAGACTACATGTGCACATTGCAGTATTGCACGTGAGCACAGAGGTAAGGCCAGCTAGCAACCAAGCAATTCATTATGTTTTTGCCATTGGACAGCCAAAATACAGAAACCCTTGTGCTCATGTTGACCAAGCTTTCAGCCAACTGACCACATGGTTTAATATCAGATTATAGGCTTATAGCCTTACAGGTGATATATAGAATAATTATGTAGGTTTGTTGCCCAAAGAATAAATGTGCGTGCATATCATAACATCTATGTATTACTTGTTTCTGTTACAATAACATATAGTATTCTCAAAATGAAACAAAGTCATTGCAGTTATTCAAGTCATCAAAATAACAAGAACTATTTAATCAGGAGAGTTTAATTTCTATCAACTTTGAATTGATACAAAAGCTAAAATTCATAATATCCATATTCAAACAAACCACTTCAGAAGAACCTCACACAATCAGACAGGTCCAGTGGATTACTGCTTTCACAGAACTGGGTAGAAAAGCTATTTCCTTTGAGAGTAAATACCTGGAATGACTCCACTATTGCAGAAGAAATTGCTTTCTCCACAACTGGAGTAATAGCACGAGCTACAGTTGGCCCTACTGAAGCTATTTCCTTCTTTAGCGTTCTCTCCAGAAGGAATGGGAAGTCCTTGTTCATTGAGTTGGATATCAAACTGGTTGTCTGCTGCAGACGCTCCCTTTCTGATTTCTCATGTTTGACATTCTCCTCTTGGAAACGAGCCCACAAAGCATCAGTATTGGCTTTAACAACTTTTTCCATGCTCCTGCCAAGGGCCGCCTCAAGTCTTCTGCCTTCTTTTGTAACTGGGACAGCCACCATCACTGACAGCTGTTTCTGCATGGTCGTTAGCTGTGAATGCAAAGAGATGTCAGGGGGAAGATAGAACATTAAATTCCTCCAAATTATACAAATAAAGCATGTGCAAGAAACTTGTTAAGGCACAAACTTAGGTCCAAATGTTGTGTTTAACATAAAGCCACAGACAACCTGAGGGAGAAAAATGCTTTTATATTTTAAATCCAGGTACACCAATTATGCTTAACATGCCATCAAAGAAATCACCTGATTCAGCATCTCCTGAATAGCTAGAATCTGAGAAAAAGCTGCATCCGTAGAAGGAATACTTGAACTGCTACCAGGTTCATTTGTAGAATCTGTAGAATTGAAAGAGCTTGGAGAAGGGGAAGATGGACCAGAGACTTGAGAGTTTTTCCCCTTCTGCTTCTTGCCTTTTGTAGCTGGAACTGGGGACTGTGGAACTGTTGTATCCATAGTCGACTCAGCAACTTTTCCATCCACATCCTTGGAAGAATCTTGGATTTCCTGCTCACTGGCATTTGGGCCTCGGTCTAATGTTTCAGAAACACTAGCATCATCAACTTGCTGAGTCCCTTCCATGCTAAAAATCTCAGTGGACAATGCACAACATTCCCTAGCCATCTCAACACTAAGATCTGATGCCTGGGAGCAAAAGGATTTCTCCTTTTTCTCTGCAACAAGAATACGGGGTACTCTCTGGGAATCAAAATCATCATTCTGACTGGATCCAGTCTCACCTACAACTTTAACCTCCACCTCTACACTCTCTACCTCATTGTTGACAATCACATCTTGAACCTTTAACTCGTCCCTTTTTACACTCTGACAGACCTGAACACTCTCAGAAGATGAAACTGTCATTGATAGTATCTCTGAAGGAGTTATTAAATGAGTTGGATGTTTGAACACCGTAGGAGGATTAGGCACCATCAAAATATCATTTTGTGCAACATTTTTTTCATCCTTTCGGGAGTTATCATCTGGGGAAGTAACACCAGACAAATTTGAGTGAACACTATCCACTCTCCTATCAACCAAATAATCAAGAACTGGTTGGTCACTACCATGATCACCAAGTGGGGTACCAGGCTCGAGGTTATTTGATGGACTTCTAAAACCCAGCATTTTTCCAGACAACCTGGGACTCAAAGGAAGTGGTGGTGAAGCAATATGATAATTATCAGCTTCAGAAGTTGCGGTTAGCAACGAAGTTGACTTAAATTCCACACCTGAAGAAGTCAGTTCATGCAAGCTTGAAGCCTCAGAAGAATCTGGAATCACAGGATGTCTAGCAGGTTTGGGTGATGCACTTCCTAAAGGCACCTCAACAGGAGTGCTTCCAAGAGATGGTTCCAGTGAAAACCCATCTGAGGCAGTTGCTTCTAAAGCACAAGAAACACTGGGTTCTGTCTTCTCTAGCCCCATATTCTCCAAAGGTGGTGGTAAGCACTGAGACAAGTCCAAAGCATACTGCTGAATAGCCTGTGTCTGGACACAGTAAACCTGAACAACATGTTCTCCATCAGGTAAGCAATCACCTGTTCCAGTCAGACTGAGAATAGGCATGGTAACAGTAAATTCAGCAATATAATCCATGCAGGTCACTGCTGGGTATGGACCATATTCTATATGTACAGCATATATAGCATTCTTCTTAGCATTTGCAAGTAAAAGAAGGCCTGCACGAGGCAATGCTACTACTTGATTAAAGAAAGCTTCCTCAAGTCGAGGTTCCTCAGAACTCTTTAGATCTAAAATCTGAGTACACTTCCATGATTCCGAATCACTAGGCAGCAGCCACCCTTCTTCACTTGCTGAGACCCATATTTTCACTTCCCGGTTCAATGGTCCCTGCAAACAAAAATAGAAAAAAAAGGAGTCCATGCCCAGTTTCAGAATCAATATTTGGAAAAGCACTGCTTTTTTTTTATTTAACATATGCCCTGTCAATAAAAAATGACCAATTGAACATGTACCGCTGTGATGAGAATAATGTGATCTGGGCGGTGAGGTGCAGTTAAGAATGTAACCGAGTCAACTGGTTGACCATCATGTGGCCTTAGTACCACAAGGGGTACCGTCTTACGGTCTTCCCATATCTTTACCTGTTGCAGAAGATGGGTTAGAACAAAGTAAACAATAAAAAACATATTTCATTGACTCTCAAATACAGGAAATAATAAGTTCACAGAAAGTCCACCAGGTAATGAAATTTAGATATCTGGAATTTTTTAAACTTGTCTTAACACAAATTATTAATAATTATTCCCATTCTGCATAGAAATCGATGGGTTGCAGGATTGATCCCAATTTACCAACAAAAAAAATTGTTAGATAAGTTAACTCACCGAATGAGTTAACAAATAGATTCAACAAAACTCTCTACCAAGCATTGGTTAACTACTTTTTGTAGAATAACACTTCCACAATCTACAAGCAGTCATACAGTTTCTAGACATTGACTTGGGTCATTCATCATACAAAAAGAGGGAATGGGGGATATCTAAGAACAGAAAAATGATTAGGACAAATACAAACCGTGCCATCCATTGATGCTGAAGCCAAACGAGTAGTCATCCACTGGCACATTGATAACTCAGTCACCTCTCCATCATGTTTACCAACCAACTGTACTCCATCAATCAGTTTGTCAATGGGGCATCTAAGAGGTTCCTCCGCTGAAAATATTTCCCCTTTTCCAACTTTGGTCATATCAATTTTCAGCACACGCTTTCCAATACCAACTACTAGAACTTCCTGTGCAACATTGTGCAGAGATAACTTGTTAGGGGATTTATAAGTTACTTGAAGCTTCAATAAAAATATGGATATACTAACAAGATGTTCTAAAAAGCATCTGAGGCTTATGCCTTCAGGCAAGGATTAAAACTCTGCAACATATCGGAGCGTATTGGCCAATTTGTATTGTATCAGTGACCCACCGATATGCCCCTACAGTATGTGTTTTGGGATCTGACCTGGTTCAGGGGGTAGACGGGCCTTAAACCAACCCCCCTGAACTGGTTTAAAAAAAATAAAAATAAAATAAAAGCACCCAATGGTGCACCTACCGGCATATCAGCCTGTATCAATATTTAAAACCTTGCCTTCAGGCTCACCTTGAGACAAAACTCAAGGAAAACATACTTAAAGATCAGCTAGGAGGCTCACACCTAAAAGCTTAATGCACATCAACCATGTTTGCATCTTTACATATATATTAGTTGAATATGGTTCTTATAATAAAAACTACTTAAAGATGAATTCAAAGGTTTGCAGCTTGTGTTTATTTACATCAAGAACTTCCTAATATTCTAAAAGAGCTTGCAAGAAAACTCTTACTACTCTGTAGTCCTTGTTTAAATGATGAATATGTATATTTTTCTCATATAGAAATCTATGATACCTAGATACCTATACATGCCTAGTGTACAAGTACCAAACGTGATATGCACTCAACACAACACTGAATACTGCATGAATACTAATACTCCATATCATTAATAGTTAAAAAGTATGTGAATGGATCTATCAAAAAAGAAGCATGTAAAATGGAATTTTTTTAATAAGTAATAGTATAGAAAAATCTGTATATGGTTTAATGGGATCATAGATAGAAACACAGTCCTTTTTGTATAGCTCTACACTTTTTCTAATTTTAGTTGAAATTTTTTCCTTAAATAATGAGATCTCATGAGACTTAAGCTTTATGCCATGAGGTTTATACCTCGCATCAGAAAATCCTAGCACTTTGCCTCATTCCTGTATTTTAAAACAATGATAACAAGTGCATACTCCCAGTAATTCCATGCCTGTAGAAGATTCAAATTAAGATTACAAATCTTTTCTAGAAAATTCACATTATGAGTCAAACTTTTACTTGTTTGTGACAGTGCCAACAGATTCGTGGATGTACTGATTCCCCCTCTCCAAGTATTTGAATGGCAATAACAATTTTTCCTGTAATTTGTGGCTTATCTTCTTCATCTGGACCTTCATTAATCTTCCATACAAAAACTCTCCCATCTATGCTCGCACTGCAGAAAAGCAAGTAAGAATATCTCCAATAACAACCAGATCAAGGAAATGAAGAGCACAAACAAGGAGCAACCTGGCCAAAAGATGAACATCCTCAGCAAAAAAAGCCATGTCTGAAACCCTCTGATGGAAAGGAAAGCAGAAAATTATCAATGAAAAGGTTCAGGCCTTCAAGAAAATTAGGACTGAGAAAAAAAGCATTTCTACAATGTTGCAGAACACAAAATATTAACAGTGTTCTCTATGAGTACAGAGAAAATTTGTGCTCTTGTGCACATGTCAGCATTACATAAATCAATTATGTAAAAGCAGGTGAGGAGACGAGAATGTTGCAGTTGAAATTAGCAGGACCATGCAAAGAAACCATTTCCTACAATAACATTACCAGGTTCAACTAGGAGCACAAAACATGAATCTTTAACTAACCAAAGAATCAAAAGGAACGTTACATGGAAGAACCCCCATATTCAAAAATATTATTAAAATGAAAAGGTAAGGAAGATCAGGGTTTTAGTCAGTAAACTGTCAAACCATCCCGGAACTAAGAGTGATAACTAGAACCCTCAATCAAATAGTAAAACAAGTTGAGATGAAGAATCATAAAGCATATGAATATAACTGTTGCAGTATCATTCTATAGGTCACAGATCACATAGATTACATCAAAAAAAATTGTTTTAAAAGTGCAAGGCACAAAAAAGGCACAGGGGTCAATTTGCACCTGAGGTGCAAGGCACAAGGCGAGGCGCGCACCTTTTTAACCAAGGCGCATAAAAATATAAACTTTAATTTTAAAATAAATGTTTTAAAAACCTATTATCTAATAAATACATAAATATAACATGTAAAGCATATTCAAATGAGAATTTAAAAATAAAATCAAATATATAAATCATTTTCAAGCATATAAAACCCACAATCTCTTTTTTTCTCAATTGCATTACTTCAAGTAGCTAATGTGATGTAAAACGTATTACATTCCTGATTCTACAAGTCACCTTTGTGCCACGCCCCTCGAGGCAAGCCCAAACAAGTCCACGTTTGGTCTTAAATTCTTAGTTCTCACACAAAAAATAATGACTTTATAGTTTTTATTGCTTTTTAAGAAGATATTTTATTAAGATGAATGAATGAACAACATTACAAAATAGGGGGTTCATGAAAGGTTCAAAAGGCAGCGCATGCCTGGGCTGAGGTGCAAGGAACACCAAGCGTGCGCCTTTTGAAAGGGCTGCGCCTAGGACCTGGGCAAGGCGCCTACCCTGAAATGCACCTCACCCGTGCGCCTAGGCGCACCTTTTATCACTGTCAAAAACAGTATTAATAATGAAAACAGATGCCTAGGAGAAATGGGGCAGATAATATGATGCCATAAACAACTGTCTTGCAAATGAAAAAGGAAATGCACTTGCTCATAGCACTTAACCATGATACCAATACCAAGCAACTCATTGGCTTCTCTGCATGATACCAATACCAAAACACACACCATCCAACTCAGAATCTCAAAAACAATAGTCCCCTCCAAATGCTTTTTTACAGTCCCTCTCCAATCACTCCTCAGTCCTCACAATGCCATCACTATCACGATCTTAAAATGATGTGCCATATCAGGTCTTAGTTCACTAGAATCCTTAAGAATTTTCCCTCAACTTTCTGTTTCTCTCTTATTTCTTGCAAACTATTACCCAAAGTTGGTCCTGGGGTCTTGGGAAGGGTGGATTGGATATGACCAAACCTTTGGCATTTTTTAGCACAAAGTATGCACTCAAATTCGAACCCACATTCTCACACTTGTCAGCCAAGATTTTACAATTATACCAAGCAATGGCCCTTCACAAACTCATCACTTGATAATAACATTTTTTCTCTATTTAACCTTAAAAGACAGTTTCATTGTTACAAGGAAAATTTTTCTTTAAATGGCCAAGAATCAGAGGAGAGAAGGCAAAAGTCCTATGGAATGTGATTCCATTTGCAGTTTGTTTGACAATTTGGAAAGAAAGAAATAGGTATATCTCCAAAGATAGTAGAGTAAGGTCTAGAAACAAGTTGATCAGGATTTATGATCCCTATCATGGATTGATTCTCTAGCTCATTTTGAATTCAAAGTTGTAAACATAGAAGATTTAGGTTCCACTCCTTGGATTATTTTGGGTCTTCCTAATCGGGCTCAGGGGTGATCATGGGATGGGCTGGGCTGGGCCTGGCCAAGCTTAGCATTTATTGTAAGAGGCACAACCTGGGCCCAGCACAGTCGACACCCCAGGCACTGCTCTAGACAGCCAAGGCAATGCCATGTTGGTCTTCCAGGCCTCCAAACTTTAAATATAGGTATGTATATATATATATATATTGATCAGTAACAGAAAACCTTCATTAATTAAGAAAAGGATTTCAATACAAAGGTGGGCTGAGGTAAACCCTCTTACATCACCCCCAAAAGGAAAATTACAGTGCAGCCCAAAGCATATGCAAATGAATTGGCACATCTTTTAACCCACTAGACGCACACATCCATTCCTTGAGTTAACCACTTGAATTGCCTTCGTTCATTAATGCATGTCCATAACCCATCATTTGTCTTCTCTATCCAGCCAATCACCATTTGCAAATCTCCTTCAATAACCAACCTGTTTATATTCAGCTTGATGAGAATGAAAATTATCACATCTTTATCCCTTAATATTCAGTCTTTTATACTTATTTAGTGCCTAATTGGATTCACTATTCTTATATTTCGATTTAGGGCACGAAATGAGGCATTAAGTGAAAAACAATGCTAATCGGGTAATTTTGCACAGTTTCGGCGCCGCGTGGTAATTTCGGCATAACTCTCCCATCCGGACTCCGATTGAGATGATTCAAGACGCATTGGAAAGATAAGGAAAAGCTCTACAACTTTCATGTTCTGAGTTTTGATAGATTCGGACTGCATCGAGGTCAAAATCGGGCCCGAAGTCTCTGCAAATTCGTAGAGAAGCCCAATTCGCAGAGAGCCCCAGATCGCAGCAAAGCCCAATTCACAGAGAAGCCCTAGTTCGCTGGAGAAGACCAGCCCAATTCAGCATGCAGTACTAGGGCCCACTCATCATTCTTAATAGAATTCGGCTAAGAGTCTTAATCAAATCTGATTTTTATTGTAATCTTAAAGAAAGAAAAGAGTTAGAGTCCAACTTAGTCAAGAGTTTCTATTTAGAGATAAGGATAAGATTAGATCTGAATTAGGAAATAGGACTTTCTATTTTTGAGAAAGAGAACTCCTAAGAGGAGCTGAAAACTGCTCCCTCCTAAGGCTATGTAAAAAGGGGGGCGGACTAGCAASGAGGCATCACTCAATCTTGGAGACAA